CATTTACCATGTATTGCAGTTGCATAACCAACTGTTTTTAAAAGTTCTGAAATGATCGTTTCATTAGTAGGTAATCCTCCAAGAGCAGTTGATGCAAAATTTTGCCATACACCAGTACGTGGAGTTAATCGTCCGGTTAATAGAGCTGCTCGACTAACACTACAAACTGATGCTCCACTATGATAATCTGGTAAACGCATACTTATCGAAGCTAAATAATCAAGAAATGGAGTATCACGTGTATTAGGCCAATTTGCACCCACGTCACCCCAACCCATATCATCGGCCATTATCAATACAATATTGGGACGAGAGTCGGCTAAACGTTCCGATAGAGGGATAGTACGAGAAGCAAAACATAGTAAAATAAGCTTAAAATTTAATAATGTAATAAAGAAAATCATGGCCATCATCATATTTAAGTTAAAGAATATGATAAATGATAAAACAGGGTCGTACAAAAAGCGCACATCAGCACATTTCTTTTATTTTCTTATCATCTTCTCCTTCTGAAGTTGAATAAATAAAAGATCGTAAAATAAAAATAACACAGAGAGAAAGCACATTGCAGCAGTAGGTAAAGATTTTTTTTCTCGAAGGTTTGGGTGTGAATGTGCGATGAAGAAAGGACACTCATCTTGAGGGTGTGTGTGGGTGTGGGTGTAGATGTGAGTATGGGTATGTTTTTTTCTTCTTCAACGACAGTCATAATCTCACCCACCATAGCCACATCTCTCCTACACTCACACCCGAATATTGAAAGTTACCAAATAACACGTTGATCACTAGGTGCAACAGAAGATGCTCCTATCGTTGGTGAAAAAAAATATGGAAGCGGACCTGCACAGCTCTATAACCCTCGAGATTCATCATTTGATCGGCAGAATAATCTTTATGTTGTCGATAGAATAAACGATCGAATATAAAAATTTGTTATTGATCTTGACTGAAACAGGTTTTCATGATAAAATATAAGTGAACTAATTTATTATTTATCTTGTAGATCACAGTCTTTTCAGATTCCTTTTCGACACGACTTATATTTCTACGCAGTAAAAATTAGTGAAACTATCCAGTTAGAAGTATGTGATAATATGGATTTGGTTGCTCAATTTTTTTGTATCAATATTTACATCTGTTTTCAAAACCTAGGGTGTGGGTTTTTATTAACCTACACCCACGCCGTCAAAATGATTTAAATTTGTACCTCTGATTAAGACTTCTGTTTAGCAGTTCGATTCATAGATACAAATTGAATGAAAAATTTTCTATTTAGATTATTTTTTTATATAATATTTCTTGTACATATTGAAAATTAACCTTACAGTAAAATCATTGCATGATGGCATTGATTTTCTTTCGTCAAATAAATACTAATATTAATCGTAGGATGATTTCTGTTATTGTTAATGTAAATTTTAATAAAACATATTGATGAAGCAAATAATTGATCATGATTAAATATAACAAATGATGGTAAATATCCTATATATAATTGTTGTTGATGAATAAACATATCAAACGTAAATTCTTTTAAATCATAATATTGTACAACAGTTGCTTTTATAGTATTTGAATATTTATATTATGTTTATGAAATAGACATTTATCATACATAAAATAGATGAATGACAAGAACATTTTATATGATAAATATTATCTAATGTATGATCAATAATACATATTCCATCATTTTTTTATGAATTTTATTTACATTGATTATATTCAAAATAACAATTTGTTCTATAATGATTTGGTAAAGATAAACAATATAGTTTTTGTTCATCATGATTTATTATTCCACGTTCGTTTGGACGGCAAATAAAATTTGAACAACATATATTTTGACATTGTTCTCCTCCTCCATTATATTGACAATATTCTCCATACCAAACGTTTTCACAATTACAATTAATCATTTTATTATTATTAAAAATTGTATATCAAACATCATAATCACCACATAACAAACATTTACTATTCTTATTACTTGTAGATAAATTTAGTTTAAAAATTTTAACCAAATCGGTGGGTGAGTCTGTTTTTTACCCACACTCTATTTCTTTCAATATTTTACTAGTGCTCACTGAAAAGGATCCATTGTACCATAAAAATAGCAACAAAACACTTTTTTGAAAATTTTGTTAGTTTTCTGTGAACTTGTCTCATAAAAAATTTATTTAAGAAGATAGTTTGAGAACACATTTTTTATGCATAAGCATGTGTACCCGAGTGTCCTCTACTGAATAACATAACGTTGAACATAGTTGATCAAAAAAGAATTTTCTCAAGTATGGATATAAAAAATTACATGGCAACTTTGAAAATGATTAATGCTAGAAATAAAATGTGTTATTTATCTTCTTGATTTCTTAAAGCAATAGCTGTTTCCTGTTCATCTTCACGAAAATCTTCAGAAGAACGAGTTGTATCATTATTTGCTGACGATTGAACGTTTAATAGATTTTTTCGTTGATGAAAAAAATGAACAAGATATGAAACAGTATAAAGAATAATTGCCATTAATATGCAAACAGCTAAAAGTGTTGGAAAATGATTTGGATCACGATCCATAACTAAACCTAAAATATTCAAAAAGAATTAAATATATTTTATCATTTATAAAGTATACCAGCTATTTTGTTCAATGTCATGGCTCCAAGTGCTGTCCCACATAATAGTAAACCAAGAAGCATTGGTATAACATTTAATCTTTGATTAAAATATCCAAATGATAATGGGAATATCGGTGCAAATATCAAACCGGTCACTGCACCAAGAATAAATAAACTTGTACTTGTTAAACCAATCACCCATACATAAATAAGCCAAGCAGCGGCCAAACACAAAGCTCCAAACCAAATAATATTAAGACAGATATTCACTGATAGAAATACAGATATGATGGCAAAAATGAATCGTCCAACCTATTTTAGTAAAAACTTATCTTTGATAATGAGGTGATAAATAAAATGATAATACATACAGAATATGAAAGCCAATAAAGAGTCATTCCCCAACTGGCGGCTTCAGTTGATAGATTAAATTTATCAAATTTGAGATAAGAAAAAAAGAATTTTGAAAATGTTTGATAATTTCCTCCCATAAAAAATGTATAAATAATAAATATTGTTGAAAGACTTAAACCATATTGAAAATATCCACGACCACATGTACGAGGAGAATATGGTGAGGAATTCTCTTTCTTCATCGAAAGATTAACATCATCTGGATTCATACTAACAGCAGCATAGTCAATCTAAATATAAGCATGACATTTGTTAACTAATTCAACTTTTACATAGATGAAGTTAGCAGTATCTTCGACTATACTACTACTTTCGTTATTTTTCCTTTGCTTTATTATTACCTGTTGTACTTGTGATTTTTGTCTGCGATTTCTTAACACTGGAATATAAAACAGCATATGTCCAATAGCAATAAAAAAACATAAAACTGCAGTGATTGAATATGGAATAACAATGTTTGGATTAACATTTGTCACATTAGTTCCTTCATGATTTGTAACATTGAGGGGTAAATGTTTTTGTGTAATAAACGGACGAACAAGTAAATTAGCAAAAACAGCACCCAATCCATAACCTAAATGAACTGAATTTAAAGGTGCTGCAGCATTAACAGTCCACATTTTCAATAAAAGATTATTTCCACCTAAATCTGTAAAACCTTTCGAAAGTCCTTGAGTAAACGATAAAACACACATTAATATCAAGGATGTAACAAATGGAGTAGCAAAGACCACTAAAAGCAAAACAATTTAAAAGGTTTTTATTTTGAGCATAAGATTTTACCAACAGCAGGTAAAATAAATGCACAAAATAGGAGACCTTCAGAATGATTTTTAACAATATTTTGTAAAATAGCACCAAGAAGATTCGCAATTAAATATCCAGCACTTCTCGATGCAAGTACTGAACCCATACCACTATATGTTACTTGAATATTTGCTGCAAGAATTGGCAGTGTAGGACCAATTAACTCAAGATGAAAACCCTGAAATATTAAAGAATTTCGTTTTTCTGATGAAAATCATTCGTAGAAGTATAAAATTTACCATTATAATCCAAGTTAAAATAAGATATCCAGTTTTCATTAAATTCCATGGATGACTTAAATAAACTTGTATCCTGGATGCAGTTTTTGACGTAGACTCGATCACCATTGTGTATTTAACGTCTTACTATCGTCGAATAAATACTTGTTTTTGTTTGACCAATGAACACTTAAAATCTGAAAGTTAATATCTTCATAAAAGAAAATCATTCCATAGTAACTGATGTTGATTTATAGTCTTAAGATTTATACTCACGAAATTTTTGTTCCAGACAGTTACTTGAATATGATACAAAGAAATGAACTTAAAAATCATAGTTTTTCTTATCCTATGTTGAAAAAAAAGAGAAACTCTACGATCGACATGAGTAAGATCAAATGTCAAATAAAAAAAACGACGCATTCAATTGTGAGATAAAAAGAATGAATATATTCATGTGATCGTGTGAGAAAATGCACAGACTTCGTTTTAATATTGAATATTGTCTATCAGTCTGATGTGTCTCATAATGCACACTCAGCTTGAATATTGGCTTGAGAAAAAAAGAGACAGAACGAATAAACGGTTATCTCTATGTACAAGTCAAGTTAAGATGTGTTTGCACTCACTCCCTCAAAATTATTTCAATAATATCAATTCGATAGTACAAGATTTTTTGTAGAGAAAATTCGATTTATTTTAAAGATGTTATATGTATCAACTAGAGAAAAAAAATGTAGAATTAAATATACAGTTCGTATTATTTTCTTAATATAATCGCTGAATTAAACAAGTGGATAGCTGGCCATGGTAGCAATACCACATTGATTTTTCTTGTTACGACTCATCCAGATGTATCCTTGGTTACCCCATGATGTTCCCCATGAGTTTTTGACGATGTAGTATTCTCCTGATCCTGATTTGTCATAACCAACAGCTAATACACCATGATCGAGTTCGGTTGATGAACAATCTGGTTCGTTGTAGATACCTGATTTGTAGAATTGAAATGAATCTTGTGATGCATCAATAGCAACTGAAATTGGACCAATTGTAGCAATAGCATTTTGAAGATCAGTTTCATTTTGAGCTTTGATATCAACGAAACCCTACATTTAAGATAATCATAGTATAAGTTTTTACATTTTTATATGAAGATAATACATACAGTATCAGTGGCACCAACATTTTCTTTTTTGAATCGGCATTTACCATCTTGAGCTTCATATGGGTAGCTTTTTTCGGTATCAATACCATTGTTAGCTTTGATATATTGAAAAGCTGAATCCATTAAACCACCATCACAACCCATATTACCGAATTTGCCTGAGCAATCAACTAAGTTTTGTTCAGAGAGTGAAACGAGTTGTTGTGTTTTAGCGAAGTGTTGACCTTCGAGTGAACCAGTAGCTGAGAAAGCCCAACATGATCCACATTGTCCTTGATCTTTGATTGGTGTTACGTAACCTTTTGTACGCCAATCTATACAAAATATTTTTAAGATTATGTGCAAATAAAGAATTAATATGAGAGATACATACCAACAGCATCTGGAATAGCAACATTTGCTCGAGCTAAGAATGTATGACGGTCGAATGATTCATCTTTAGCTGAGACTTTGAAACCGTTCATTTGTTTACGGAATTCTTCATTGGTCTACACAAATATATATGTGTAATGTATTTTGATGTTTGGAGTAATATAAGAAAAAAATAACTTACCATATCACCAAATCGATTCATTCCTAAGGTGTATGTATGAATACCTAAGTCAGCTTCAACGTTGTGTTTTTGGATTTTAGCAAGATTAGCTTCCCAGATGGTACGACTATTAAACAAAAATAATAAATCTAATTTCTAAAAAAAAAACAATACAATATTGTATAACATACCGAGCTGTTTCTTCTTCAATTGAATTATATTGTTTTTCATGGACACGTTTGAATAAAGCCCATTGATTACCGAGTTGTTCATCGAGCATAGGTGCACAATAAGCGCCTACGAAGAGGACACAGAGAGCAATGATGACTTTCATTATTGTTATTGTATGTAATGATAATATTCTTGTTTATCAACGAAAAATGATTTACTAGCAATGAGAAAGTGATGCGTATTTATATGAATTAGAGACTTTGCATGATCATCTTACTTTGCAAAGATAACGTTAAATTTTGTCGTATCATTGAAAAAGTGCATAATGATTTAACTGACGTAGTATGATATGAGAAGAAAAAAAAATCTTAGTTATCTTTAGAATATTCTTTCTTATTTCACCGTCATATAGATAAGCGATGGTAGAGAAGCCATATGGTGTAGTGCAGTTTTTTTAAATGACATAACATGAAGTAATATTTTTATTTTATATGAATATCTTTTTATTCATAATTGTCAATGATTTGAAAGTATAATCAATGCATTTCAATAAATGATTGCAAATGTGTAGGTATCGAATTCATATAATTGATCTTTTCCTTTTGAATTAGTCGAGCACAAATACATTTTAAGTGCAATTGAATGGGATGCATTTCAAAAAGACGTTGAAATCTTGTATCTTTAGCACAATCTTTCGGTGTTCGCCCATGAGCAATTGCATCAAGATGTGCACCAGAATTGATAAGCAATTTAAATATATTTTCTATATCAATCCATTGAAGATGGGGAAAATGTTTATAATCACTTAGAACAAAATCATGCAATGGTGTATAATGATCATTATCAATTGCGTTGACTGATGCTCGACAAGACAACAAGAATTTTACAACCGGTAGAGATGGAAATGTTGTGACAATACCAATATGACCAAGCCACCGATCCTTGTGGTATGGAATCAAAGAAAGATGTAATAATGTTTTGTTATCAGATACAGTACGATAATCAAAATCAAGTAATTGTTGAACTAATTGATGAATAATTCGTCGTCGTTCTCGTTCTTTTTCACCACTATATCTTAAGATCTAGATTTTTTATGTTATATTTCAATTTATTCTTTTGTTACTTACTTCAATTCCAATAAAAATTAGATTAAGTATAATAGATAAACATTGATCTATATGATATACTTCGGTGGGTTCGATTTCGTTTGATGAACAAGGAAATCTATCGTTATCTCCATGAAAGTCTTTTATCAATCGAAGATCTTTAATTCTTAAAAATTTATTTCCAGTTAATTTTAGTACAGTTCTTGAGACCTTCTAAATATCCATGTACATCAATTTGTGTCTTTATTCGAAGATAACATGCATGTGTATATAATTGTATAGCACGTTGATATTCTATGTTATTTGCATAATATAAAGCTTGAGTATTAAGTTGATTAAGAAAATCGAATGTTATATTCAATCGTTCCCATATCACAAGACCTTGCATCATGATACGATCTGGATCATTTTTAATCAGTTCTAACTCTTCGATTGTTTGACATTCAATATAATAATCATAAACTTCCATCGGTGGTAGAAGATTAGTTTTAAGAATTGGTTTGTTTAAGTCTTTGTATCTTAATTTCATTGCTCGTAGAAAATACTCATAAGATTTGCTATATCTATCGACTTTATTCGATGTCAAATGATAACATCCAATTAATTCAAGTTCATCAATGATTTGTGAAGTTGTATACCAAGATTTGTCATCATTATTCATATAATAATTCATAACAAGCTTATCATCTTCTATACCAGCTATTGTTAATGGCGTGTATCCCACGTTATTCTTAACAATTCTTGCATGATATTCTTCTAATAACAATTTGATAATATCTAAACTTAATAAATACTGTACAACATCATAGGTTTAATATTTACATGCAATCATAAGAGATGTTGAGTTATTTTGATCGACATTGTATAAATTAGCACCATTTTCAATGAGATATTTGACCATCTCTACATGCTAAACCTAATGGTGTCCATGACTTTCCTTCGGACTCATCTGCCATATGATTAACATTTGCTTTTCCAAGTGATATCAATATTTGAACAACATTGAAATGTTTGTTTTGAACAGCAAGCCAAAGTGCTGTTTGTCTATAGAAATATCCTTCATATTTAAAAGAATCATAATTAAAGTCAGACGAATAATTCAGTGCATCAACTATACAATAATGAGAATAATTTTCTAATAAAAAACGAACAATTGAACTATGTCCATGAATAGATGCAAACATTAATGGAGTTAATAGGTATGTTGGAGAACGATATAATTCCATCATTGCATTCAAATAACGATCAAGTTTAACTGTTTCAATTGATTGTAAAACTGTTTCTAATTGATGTACATTATCATTTTCACATGCACTGATAATATCACGTAATGTTTCATTAACAAGATCTGTTACTTCTTCAAAATTACCATTATTTTTATATATGATTTGTGGACGCTCCATCACTTATTATGTCATGCAATCAGATGATGATTGAAAAATAAATATATGTGTATGTATGTATGACTCATATTCTTGCACAATATTATAAAAGAGAAAAACATGTTTCTGTCTGTTCTGGTGTAGATAAATATTCTACACACTGAATTTATTTATACACATAGATTAACTGAAAAGGAATTAATGTTTTCTAATAACCACGATCAAAATCAACTCTACCACGCATACTAAGATTGTCACAAAAAAGCTCAACAATAGCATAGGCTAGAGATGGTGCAGCACTATGACTAGTAAGGAGAAGTCCTTGTGTACGCCAAAATGGATGGTCGGAAGGTAATGGTTCTTTTCGACAGGCATCAATACTGCACCTGCCAATTGTTTCTGTTTCAAACTAGTAATGAGATCAGCATCGACAATTGCACTACCTCGTCCTGCATTGATAAATATCGCTATTGGTTTCATTTGAGCAAATAACGTTGCATTCCAAATATTTTGAGTTTGAGGTGTATTGGGTAAGAGATTAACTACATAGTCAGCAGTTTCTAAAAACCGAGGAAGATCTTCTAATGTTCCACATTGATGAAATGGACTAATCGAACGAGATGTGTTGGTAATTCCTATCAAATTGACACCAAAAGGTACCAGCATCTGAGCAGCACAACAACCATAATCTGTCATCCTTTAAGAGTACCTGATTGACGATCATACCATTTACCTTCTTTTTAATGATCAATCCGTCCCATCACTTGACGTTCGTATGCAAGAAAATAAGTCAGTTTTCTTTCATCCTTCGACTTGATATGTCAGGTGATGTACATGTTAATTACGACGAAATCATCGATTTTCTGGAGAAAGGGGTAAAGTTTTGCATTGAAATATTGAATAAAATCATAAAATATTTTTCCACATGAAATTGGGACTTACGAAAGAGAGAGCAGCAGCGATTAATCTAGAGAAGATTACTGAAGAAATTTATGCTATATTCGATCTTGATAAAGCAAAAAAAACTAAACAAACAACAATTTATAGATGGATTGGAGCTTCATAAACTTCATCTGACATACAACAATCGAACTTTCTTTCTCTACTTTTAGAAATAATATATATGAATTTTGTATTGTAAAACGCTTCAGCTATATCACTGACTTTGATGCATTCATCTTTTATAAAACAATTTTTTTCTTTAATTATAAAAAATCATTTGATGATTAAAGAGTGCGACATCTCTCTCCTAATACATACACAAAATGACTCAATCGTTTTGTATTTCTTCGTTACGTAGAATGACTAATAAAAACAATCTTCTTCCGTTCTGTTTCTCTTCGATCAAATATAAAAGCACATTCATAACGTTTAAAACGTGCGCAGTTAAAAAGTTACCAACATTCTAATCAATGGAGAATTTCCCAGTTGAAATTCTTCATCGTATTTTCGATAATCTTGATAGTGAAACAATTTTATTGTCAATTCGACCTGTCTGTCGATTATTTCGTGCAGTTATCAATACTTATAATCGATATATTTTCAATTTTGAATCAGTTTCAAAATCAAATTTTCATCTTCAATGTCGATTAATTCGTCCTGAAAATGTCATTGCATTAATACTTTCCAATAATGAACATATTCCTGATCAAATATCTTTATTTATGTCATCAGTACGTCTTCGACAAATGACTCGTCTTCAATCGATAACATTCATTGGTATTAATGAACTTCAATTAAATAATATAGTCAAAAGAATTAATCTCAATTCTCTAACTTCATTTACATTACATATTGAAAAATATGATGATAGACGAAAAAAAACTACATTAAATTTTCTTTCATTAATTATGGCACAATCAAATCTTCAAAAAGTTGAGTTAAATATTAGAAATGATCGAATATGTGAGATATCATGGCCTGTACATTGTAGAATTAAACATTTAATCATAAATGAAAACATCACTTTTGATAATCTATGCAAAATTTTATCGAGTGCTTCTCAACTTCATAAACTCATCATAAAACAAGATTTGCCCACTATGATTGATCATAGAAAATTAACTTCGACTTTCCCACAAATAACTTCATTGACAATTGAACAATTAGAGGTATCAATTGATCGGCTTGAGTCATTTCTTATGCTAACACCATCATTGATATATTTAAAATTAATCGGTAAAGAATGTGTAACAGATGGAAAACGATGGGAACAATTTATTCAAATAAATCTTCCACATTTGGATACATTTCAATTTTTTATGGATGTTAAAAAACCAATTGGACAAACTCGTGAAGATCTTCAAACAATTCTTGATTCATTTCGAAGTTCATTTTGGACAAAATATAAAAAATGGTTTATTGCTGGAGAACTCAATATCAAACGACCCCATGATATTCAACTCTATACAATACCAATTTGCAAATCGACTCTTAAATATGAATTATATTCAGAAAAAATCTTTGTTTATACTACTTCAGATATTTCTCCATCAATAACAGAAAATATCAATGAACTTAATTTATCTTTGAAAATGCAAATACACGATAATACTATTCCAAAACAAGTATGTCTTCTAAATATTGATTTTCATGGAAGATAACCTACATATCTATTCATTTATTTATAGCTTTTGTTACGAATGAATCCTTTATTTCCAAAAGTGACTAAACTTCAGATCGAATTTGAATGCAAACCTTCGTTGAAGTCAACGAAATTTTTTCAATCATTAATCGACGTTTCACGACTAGTGGAAGTTACATTGGAAAAGTATTCTTTCGACAAAGGCGATGAAATTGTATTGTGTGAAATAATTCATTTTATTGAACAATTGCCTAATCTAACATCTTTAACAATTCATAGTATGTTTTGCAAATATGAAATGTATCCATTTCTAGATAATATTTGTTCAATAATTCCACGTCAGATCAAATATTTGCAATTAGCCATTAGTAAATTAGATCAAATAAAGATGATTTTAGACCGTTGTCAATATCTCTCAGTTGTAAAATTTGAAACAACACGTTTAAAACTCTCCGCAGAAATTACTCATTGGTTTACTGAAAATACTATTGATTCAACATTAACAAGACAAAATGGATGTGATATTATATGGATTGGAAAAAGAAAAAGTCCAATGATAGTTAACCACAAACGAATCAAATCATCCGATGATTAACACGTTCACTATCCCTATGTGAAAAAATGAGTACTTGTTCCACATCCATTTTTTATTCTTTCTTTAATTTGAAAATAGATTATTTTTGGAGCGTATTACGTTTATATATCACAAAAATAAGTTTTAAACATATGTTTGATGTTTTCTTTTCATGTAACACATATGATTCAATTGTCTCTCTTAGAATAATACTGAACTAAGTTTATTGGAGAAACGATGATTATATATATAAATGAGCTAGGAAGTACCACACATTTCAGGAATAAAATATGACGAAGAGGAGAATAAACCTAATCAACATAAAGAGAAGGAGAGGAAAGAAAAAAAAGATCGTACTTCTTATGCAAAACAAAATGCAAACAAATCTCAACAGAATGTAGAGAATGCAAGAAACCATTCTGCTTAGCTTGTTTTAATGAGTATCGCTAAACATTATTACTGGAACCTGTGACTATTTTTTTATTTTCATTTAAATTGGTAAAGAAGAACAGTTTGTGTTATATTGAAATACTTTTTTGTAATATAAACATTTAAAATTGAGCATTCACTTTTTTTCCTCAGATAAAAGCAAAGCGTTATGTTTTTTAAAATTTTAATATGTCTAGTGCATCGTATGTGATTCAACCAAAAACTAGAATCCTTCTTTACATCGTACCGATACATTCCAATAGTCCAAATGCAGTCAACTAGTTGCGTTTAGCAAATTCTAGCTTCAAATATCATATGCAGGGTGTGGGTGTGGGTGTGGGTGTGGGTGTGGGTGTGGGTGTGAGTTAAGATAATAGACGCGCATCCACACCCATACCCACCCTGTTCTATGATGCATGTATATGTTGGAGACAGTTTCCAAATAACAAAGGATAATAATACAGAGTCATAACGTTCCTCAGCTTCTGGAAATTCTTTATGTCACATCTTCCTGGTTTTGAAATTCCTCTCGAAAGACAGTAAAAATGTGCACTTTATCCTTATTTTACTCTTCGATACCTTCTCTTCTTGATGATAAGAAGTTCACATGCCATGAATGGAGAGTGTATCTGATGACTATTTTTACTTATGTAAGTAAGAATTATAATATTAATATCATTTTTCATAGCATGGCGTATGTGTGTATAAGAGTGATCTGTATATTATTAAGGTTTTATTTTTCTTAATTAAATGAGAACAATCGGTGCATAGCAGAACGAAAATCTTTCTTGTATGTTTCTGATGGTAGAACAAAAATGATAAAAGTAGCTAAAGGAGGAGTAAATGAAATCCAGTAAGCAATCAAAAATAAATAAACTTTTCGATCTTGTTTCATACATGAATAAACAAATGAAATTATTAATCGAGGTAAAGCTAAGAGAATTAAAATACATGGACTAATTAATAAATGTTTGAATTGCTTAAATTGAATTTTCAGATGTTTTTGATAAGAAATTTCTTGATGAATATTTGAACGACTACGAGCTGTTTGTCTTATTAAAATTAAAGCCGAAATAACATTTATTCCAAATGGAATAAGAAAATGAATTAAATTAATAAATGAATTGTAATAATTTAACCATGATTTATCTTGATATGAAACTGTACACCACATACGTAGATCTTGTTCATCAGTTATTAAACGACGATGGATTGGATCATGAATTGAACTTACAATATTTAACATAATATTGAAAATGATTACATATTTGGCTATTTTTACACTTTTACATCGACTGAATGTTCCAGGAAAAGTAACTGCTACTGTTCGTTCAATAGCAACACAGGCATTTAACCAATCAATTATCGATGGAAATATTCGGATTAAAAATTCAATTAAAATACAATTTATATAAACACCCAATTCATTCAGAGATAACATAATTTGTGTTATTAATAAATAAATGAGTTTCACAAGAAAGATAATCATTAATAATAAAGAGATTATCGAAGAGGACAATAAATAAATTCGACATCCAACATCCAGTATTTTAACTTGTTTAAATGTTATAATAGAAAATGAATTTGATACTATTCCTAAGAAAAACATAATTGATATAACAATTGTACTTAGTTGAATAATAAACGGTTGTTCGGTCAAATTAACATCTCGCAAAATATATTGTCCAATAATTCCATCGAGAGAAAGAACATACTTCTGTGTTGTTAATTGACAATGCGATCCATAAAAGCACCCTTGACAGATACAAAATGATTTTGATTGACAAATTTCTTCATCTTGAATACAAAGTCCATTATTTTCACATAAAGATTGTTGACAAATAGATAGACTATGATTAAAATCGAAACAATCAAGATGATGAAATTGATTACATAAACACATTTGATCATAATCATAAAAACAAAAGAAATGTTTATTCAAACATATTTCTTGATAAAATTTTATTCGTCGTAATCGATCAAAATTAACAATAGTTGAATTAAGTAATTCATTGATATGTGGACAACGATTCGATGGAAGAATCGAAGTAATCACTTCTTCCGAGAATTTTCTCGGAAGAATTCCGACTAGGTAATATCTACTTACTATATTATTATCAATGAATTGAATATAAACTAAATTTGGTTGATATTCTGGTGTATCAACAAATGGATTATAAATAGTTAAATTTTTCGATTGAATCCTTCGAAAAATAGTACGACGACGAGGCGCACGAGAGAAATCTTCCGATGTTTTAATTGAATGAATTAATATTGGCGAAGACCATGATATATCCGAAAATTGAATATGAGTTTTTGCAACAATTTTTTCACAATATTTTCCAGCAAATTCTTCTGGACAAAGACAAATATATTGCTGTTGCACGTTATCATAATCATAAGCCGTGGCTCTAGCATCCAATGGAACACATGTTCCATTATTTCTACAACTATTCGTTTGACAAATATTGTATGGTACACGACATAAAGGCCCAATTCGACCAATTGGACATATACATAATTGATTTGAAATACAAAATGATCCTTTTGAACATTGGCAATTTAATGGAATATCACATGACATTCCTGACCAGCCATGAAAACAATGGCAATAGATTTTTCGAATATTAACATATTCCATACATTGTCCATGTATACAAACTAGTTCATTACATTGAACAGTTGTTCTTGTATTAATTGATAATGTTAATCGAGCAGCAATTCTATTCACAGGAAGAAAAGGAAATTTTATATCGAAATACCATGATTGACTATATCGTATTTCTTCCTCTTCTTTTGTTAGAATAAAACTATCAATACGTATGAAAGAGTTTCTAGGTAATTTTGATTGATTTGGATAAAGTAAATAAAGAAGATATTTTGTTAAACAATAATTGATATCTGAATAAAGAATTATTTCATAAGAAAGAATATTTTCATTGATATCCAAAAGGAAAATAACGATTTGAAATATTTGATGACGATTTATTAAAGATGGAGTGTGCAGTTGAAGAATAACACTCAAACGGTCACTTTCATATTCACAACGACTTCCATAATATGCAGGTGAACAAAGACATTGATATGAATCTCCGCTTCGAATAAGTACTCCACGATGACAATGCCATCCAAAGAATACTGCGGACAAATCATTTAAAGATAAAACTTTGAAATTCTTCTTTAATTCAATAATATCATTTGAGTAATTCTTTTCAATCGATGGATATGGATTGAAATATTCCTCATCTATTCCAAATTGTTTCTCTCGTTTTGGAATATCAATTAAATCACATAATAATTCATCTTCTTTCCCACGACATTCAGCAACGAAATTACAACGTGTAGCTGACTTTCCATTTTTACAATGATATTCATTTAATTGACAAGACTCGTGTTGACAAATTAAATTTTCATCATCATGTTTTAAAGGACAATCAATACGACAATCACATAATTGAAATGGACTAATACATTTTGTATCATTAAAACAACGATATCTTAAATGGAAATTCTCTGGATATTTTTCTCGACAATAATTTCGATCATTGCTTGATCCAATACAATTTGATGTATTATTCGTACAAGAGTATGTCAAATCTTCATCAAAACAAAAAAACATACCTTGCGGACATTGAAACAGATCTAAACACTTTAATTCATCATGTCCATCAGGACAATTCCAAACATCATTACAATTAGTATAGAATGTCTCACATGGCCATTGTTCGCAATGAGTTTCATCATTTTCAATATTGAGAGATGATTTAGGAAGATGAACAATTCCATCACAAATTTGTCCAAAAGGAATATGTAAGGTTTGTTTGCCCGGATGACAGATATCTTTTCCTGAATTTTGGCATGTTTTTTGTCGAATAAATTCGTCAGATTTGTCTAAACAATCTGCTTTTCCATCTTGAATCATATTTAACGGAATACATTTATCTTCTAATAAACATTTAAAACGATGTGTTAGATTTAAATAACATGTTTTAGTAGAGAATTCATCCGACCAATTTGGACAGTCTTTATAACCATCGATTAAACGATATTTGGAAATACATTTGGATGAATTCTCACATGGAATTAACGATGAATGATGACATTGTTCATCATTTTTTTGAAGAGCTTCATGTGAACATTCTTTAAATATGTTTTCAATGGCAATCATGAGTGTATTCCAATTTCTATAAGTACGATTTAATGGCAAATCGTCATAATCGATGCATGTTAAATCATCGAAGTTTTTTGTGATTTTAAATGATGAACACCATTTCTTATTAAAACATATAAAATTTGGAGATGCATTTGTTAACCAATCGGTTTTATTCGAATAATAAATAAAACGAACATGTCCAAAGATAATTGGATACGATGGAAAGACTATAATCGGTGGACATCTATATCTATCATCTATGAAAATGTCATAATATATATCATCAACATAAAAATCTTCATCAATATCGAAATTGACATTTAATCCAATCAAATGCGAAATATAGCCCCAACAAGATGCTTCGGATTTATTTGAGTTATGAAGAAATTGATTTCTTCGAAATTGTTTATCTCTTCCGTTTGGACATATTTCTAAATTGGCATTCATTCGAATAGGATAATTTTTGAGACAGTTGCTATCTCCACAAGAAAACTCATATCGACCACAAAAATGTTCTTCACAGATAATTGATGGTTGAAAAAAGTAATTACCACATTCAATTTTATAATTTTTCTGGCTTTCATCACTTCCATCTAAACAATCACTATCGTCATCATTAACAAATTCATTGGGAATACATAAACCATTTCGACAACGAAATTCTTTTCCAATAATACATTCATTTATTTCTAATTCAAAACAATTTTCTTCATCTTCACCTTGTAAACAATCCATTTTACCTAAACCATACATCATTTTAAGATAAGCAATGAAATATCAAAAATTATCGGCAATGACTGTGCGATTGTAACTCGATTCTATAGGCCAGGGTGTGGGTGTGGGTGTGGGTGTTGAAATAATAGAATAGCCACAAT